ACACCCCCTGCCTGCCTGCCTGTGACAAAAACCCTTGCCAGTGGACTTAGGCCACCCTGATGCTCCCTCGTTGGTCTCACTTGAGATTCTCAATCACTGCTGCAAGCTCCCTTTGTCCAAATATCTCACAGACACGTGTCAACTGGTCACACGTCATATGGGGCCACCAGTCAGCACTTCAGCATGTGTCCCTCACTTTAATGACCCCAGACACATCACGCTCTTCCTTGGTTAAACTCGGGTTTGGAGAGGTACCAGGACCAGGATCACCACTCCAGCCTAGGGGGCTCCTCTGAGGTCCCCTTTAACTGATCCACCAGCCCAGGCACTTCCTGTTGGGCAAAGCTGAGACAGTGAGTTTTAGACAGTGTCTTTTTTCTAATGTGCGCATATTATGCTGTTGTATTCAGTCTTGACTGTGGCTTAGATATGCACCACTTATCTCTACATGGTGGTTTTTATTCTCTCTCTTTTTTCTCTCCTAGGGCAGACTACAAACTGAACTGAGAGCCCCATGCACACTAGATAAGAACACTCCTGCTGAACTGTGTCTCTGTGGTGGTTTGAACGGAATAGCCCCCATAGGTTCACAGGGAGTGGCACTACTTGACAGGGATTAGGAGGTGTGGCCTTCTTAAAGCAGGTTTGACTATGACGACAATGGGCTAAAGCTCTGAACCCGTAAGCCAGCCGCAATTAAATGTTTTCCTTTATAAGAGTTCTGTGGCCATGGTGTGTCTTCACAGCAAGAGAAACCCTAACTAAGACAATCTCCAGTACTTTCCATTTTTTAAATCTTCTTTTAAAATGTTTGTTTGTTTGTTTGTTTGTTTGTTTTTATGTGTATGGGTGTTTTGTCTGCATGTATGCCTGGATACTTCAGGCTTGCTTGGTCTGTGTGGAAGCCAGAAGAGGACATCAGATCCCTTGGAACTGGAACTACAGACTGCCGTGAGCCGTCCTATGAATGCTGGGAATAGAACCCAGGTCCTCTGGAAGAGCAGCCAATGCTCTTAATCACTGACCTATCCCCACAGGCCCTCAGTTTGAATCTTGATGCAGAGTCTTGCTAACTTGCCCTGGCTGGCCTCGAATTTGTTCAGTAACCCAAACAGTCCATGAAGTTACCATGCTCCTGCCTCAGCTTGCCGAATAGCTTAGCTACAGACCCGCACCTTCTCATTATTACTCAGTTTTCAATGTTTCACTTCCCCGCAGATTTCCTCTTTGGTCCATGAACTGCTCAGAATTGTGTTGTTGCATTTTGAAGTCTGTCAAGGAACACTTCCCATCTCCCTCTGGCACTGAGGTCTGGTTTGTTTGCTATGTGCTTGGGAGACGCTTTCCACGCACCTTCAGTTCTTTCAAGTGTGTCCAGATCCTGTATCACTAGGAACATGTCATATCTTGTAGCACATTGTGTGACTGTATGAAAAGACCATGGGCAGTGCTGTGTGGGTGAGGAGAGTTCACAGATGTTGGTTAGAGTAAGCTGGGTGATAGCAGGCCTGAGGCCTCCAGTGTGTCTGCTGGTTTTCAGTTATTGGTGGAGCGGGGTGACAATTCCAGCCCTGACTGTGGAGATTTCTCTCTCTCTCTCTCTCTCTCTCTCTCTCTCTCTCTCTCTCTCTCTCTCTCTCTCTCTCTCTCTCTCTTCATTTCTCTCCCCATTTTTCTCTCTCCATCTTTCTCCCCATTTCTCTCTCTCCATCCCTCTCTCTCCATCTCCCTCCTCATCTCTCTCATCCTATCTCTCTCCATCTCTCTCTCCCCATTTTTCTCTCTTCATCTCTCTCTCCCTTTCCCTCTCTCTCTCCATCTCCATCTCTCCATTTCTCTCCCCATCTCTCTCTCCTCATTTCTCTATCTCCCCCATCTCTCTCTCCATCTCTCTCTCCTCATTTCTCTCTCTCCCTATCTCTCTCTCCTTTTCTCTCCCCCTTCCAAGTCTTATTTTTCTGCTCTATTAACCTTTGGGATGGTAGCTCCTCCCCATGGGGATGGCACAACTCTCCTTGTACACTGCCCCTCATTAATTCATTATGTTTTCTTTGTTCTAGGTCTTAATTAGCTGATATTAAAATCATGTTGTACATTGCCTTAGACTAACGTTAGCCTGTTGCAACTCTATACTTTGACTTCCAGCTCACCTCTATCGTTGATTTTAAAGTAGATTCCTTGTAGACAGCAACAGCCATATTATGGTTTTCAGTCCTTTGTGCTAGTCATTGTATTGTGTTTGGTGTATTTGGACCATTTGCATCTGATATAACTATTGATCTGTGAGGGATGATCTTATTTAAGGACAGTTATAACACAGTACTACAATGACTTAAAATCCAGAAACGTAGACATAGGATGAAATTTGGTGGTACAGTGAACCAGAGCCTGTGCCAGGCGTCGGAGTAGATCCCAGCACTGCTAATAGAGCAAAACCAGAAACCTGCAAATGTATTCTTGATCAGCTCGGGAGACCAGAAGCCTAGGACCTGGTGACACTTTAAGGCATTTGATAAAAGGTATTTTACTGAGAAAGTTAGCATTGTCAGCAGCTGGGACTTGGCCCACCTGAGGACCCTCTGAGTCACAGGGTGGGACATTTCATGTTATCTCAGGGGGAGGAAAAGGCCAGACCCATTATCCTGTCAGTTCTCATCCCTGCTGACTGTGCGTCAGCCAGGTTTCCATCATCGCCTTAGACACTCGAGAGGACACCTTGACAGGAGGAAGGATTTATCCTGGATCCCGGTTTCAGGGGTTCTGCCCACGACTGTTTGGTCTCATGGCTGAGGGCCTGTGGTGAGTCAGAGCATCATGGCAGAGAAGGTGGAACAGCTGGCCATCTCCTGGCGTCAAGGAAGCAGAGAGAAGGACAAGGTGCCTGGATAAGATTTAGTTGAAGGAGGTGCTCTCAGTAACCAACTTCCACCAGCCCCGGCCTTGGTCTGCAGAGTCTCCTAAAATAGGGCCACCAGCTAGGAATAAGCCTTCAACACAAGAACCTGTGGGGGACACTTCAGACCCATCCGTGACAGTGTGGTTATCAACTCACCTGCTCTTCAAGGCTGCGGGTCGGAGAAACACAAAAGAATAATGCAGGCACTAGACTGGGAAGCTGCTAATATCTCGGGATGTTGAGAAATGTCAGCCACAGTTGCAGGAGACAGTAAGGGTCAGCCATCAGCCCTTTTAACTACAGCCCACATTCATTCCACAGCTGCAATGGCTGTCTTGATTTCGTCATACCAAGGAACATAACTGGAGACCTTGAGACAATTCAGCGGCTAAGATAGGCAGGAGACATGGATAATGGGAGATACCTGGAGAGCTCCATTGACCTCCAGCAGACTGAGTGTCCCTGGCTCTGTCAATCACACATTCATATCATTCTCCTCATGTTCAAGGATTGAGACACATGTGCCTATGTGGTAAGATGCTTCCAGGAATGACTCATGCTAATGAAGGACAAGCTGACAGGTACAGAGACGCCTCTCCCATGATGTGGAAATGCTAGCCTGCTTCCTAATCTCTGGTCCTAAAGGGCACCAGCGCCGCCCTCTCACACCCAGAATGTTAGGCCTTCTGCTCAACACCTTCTATAGTGAGGACAAGACCTGGGCCATGCCAGCTCCTCAGCACAACCCAGGGCCTGTCAGAGAGTGCTCATTAAGATTGTTTGTGGAAATGTGAGCCTGTCCACCTTTGGTCCAGACAGGCACAAAGATGCCATTGTGGGACCAGCACCCATCTCAGAGCCATGGAGTGTGGACAGCCCCGCAGGAACTGAAACACTTCTCCAGAGCTGACCTTCTGGGTCTCAGGGCAGGTGGCCAAGTTCAGGAACGGCAGAGTGGGGAGTGGAAGGCAGAGTTCCCACTGGGAAGGAAGCTGGGCTGAGGCCCAAAGACCGGGCAGCCAGGGCAGCCATCATGAACTCAGAACACAGACTGGTACATGGAGTCATGGTGCCTCTAGCATCATTGACCCAAAGGGAATGAGATCTGGCCCTGTTGAGAGCAAGTGGGTGCCCAGCGCTAATGAGAAGGTAAGCTGTGGACTCCAGAGGAACAAAGTTCAATAGGAGCACAAGGGTGGGCTGAGGACAGGCTGTGGTGGACCCTGGTTCTTCATCCCACCTCAGGGCACAAGATGGCAGGAAATGAACACACATGGGCCTCAGTTGTACCAGGGCAGCCCTGGCTCTGAAAATGTCCTCTCAGCGGGTCCTCAGGTGACAAGAGCAGCAGAAGGTCAAGCCCCCTTGTTGGAGATGAATCCCCTTGAGCTCACAGAGGTGACCCCCCCTTCACCGATTCCTTCAGGGGACAAATATTCATGTGTGGCTGGAATCCTTCATGCAGCCAACTTAAAATTGTGAACTATGGAAATTGAACCCTAACTGGTGGTTGAGTAGATGGGCATTGGCCAGTTAGTGAAAAAGGACCAAGACATCTGGAGTCAGAAGTGTCCTGCAGAGCACACAGCTGGCCTCAGTGCAGAATGAAGTGGGTCAGGGTCAGGGTATTGCCTAGTGTGGCAGGGGTCTACCCTGATGATGTTTAACTGACTGGGGTCAGGAGTTTGTGTCCCCACTTATAGGAAGGTCCAGGTGGGGTACCCATGCAGGGATAGGACAGTGAAGTGGCCTCCCTCCCAGGCAGGGGCCGGGCCATCTGGGAACAAGCAGACGTTCTCTGGTGGTGAAGCTCAGCCCTGTCCTCAGCAGCAGGAGGCCAGAAGCCAGGTGTCAGGGGACACAGCTCAGGGCAGCCATGGACAGATGGAGGGCAGGGGTGTGAAGGGAAGCCTGGCCCTCCCTCGCTGCCTTAGTTGCCCCTTCCTTGCCCTGATTCACTCATCTCCCCAGGGTCCTTTGTGAGCATGGCTCTTGGTGGTGCAGACATGGCAGGACATCGTGTGTCTTTCTTCATCTGTAGGTGACAATGAGTTGATATTCATCAGATCCCAACAACAACAACTTTCCTCTTCCATGATGGATGTGGATTTGGCCATGATAGAAGGGCAGGAGGGACATGGCCAGTGCCAAGTGGGCACACATCCCTGGCCATGGGGGATATAAAGGGTACCCTGTGAGCATCTGGAGCAGACATTCCCCAGGTGACTTGCCTTGTGTGAGAGCCCAACGACTGGAGATGAAGAGTTTGCTCCTGACCTTGCTTCTGGAGCTGGTGGCTGTCCTGAGGGCCCAGGAAGTCCCATCGGATGACCAAGACGTGAGCTAGTGAAGGATAGTGGGGGGGGGGGTGGTAAGAGAAAGGCATGGCCTCTGGCTGATGCTGGTGGATATGAATCATGGTTCAGGAAATGGTCTTGAAGGCTGAGTTCTACCCTCTCCTCTGCCACACAGCCCTGTCTGAAGCAGTCAGGTCAGACACTCTGCTGTTTTCTCTGCAGACGGGGCTCTTCAAGGGGCACAGGACTAGAGCAAGGAGCACAGTCAGGCCAGAAGTCCTTGTTGAATTGACACCAAGCACCAGAATGCCTCATAGGCTAGGAGGCACTGCTAGAGGAAGTGCCTTTTGCTGGGTTTGAGACAGCCACGGTTTGGGTCTTTAGGGGGCAGGCACCATTTGCCTATGCTGGGTCAGTGAACCTGTGTGCTGTGCACTCTCTGCTGGGCTCAGATTGGGGAACCATGTGGTCAGCCTACCTAAGGGGCTGCAGCCTATGTTTTGGAATGTCTCTTCAGGGAGCAAGCCGGTGTGCTGGACCTTGGGGGAGCATCGGGACAGGGTTGCGGTGGGCTCAAGCCCCTGTCTGGTACAGGTCTCAGGAATCTGGTACACAAAGGCCATTATGCACAATGACAGCCTGCCGGGGGATAAGATGCCTATGAAGGCCTTCCCCATGAAAGTGACAGCCCTGGAAGGAGGGAACTTGGAGACCAAGATCACATTCTGGTGAGTGTCTCTCACCACAGGTCTCTCACGTTGGCTTTCTGTTCTACTCTATCCATTGTTTTGGTGCGGGTGACAGAAGGCCTGTGCCTTTGAGGGGACAGGGTCATTGGCAATGCCCACGAGTTATGGAGGTTTGAGATGGGATTGGAAGGTATCATCTGACCATGGTGGATGCACCAGGAATCTGAGTTTACTCTTATGGCTGTGACAAACAACAAACACTGTGGCCTAGGGGAACTTGATTTGGCTTGTATGTCCCCATCACAGTCAATTATAAACAATGAGGGCATGAATCCTGAAGGACCTTCTTCCTGGCTTGCTCCCCATGACTTGCTTAGCCTGCCTTCTTTACCCAGGAACACCTGCCCAAAAGTGGCACTGCCCACAGTGGGCTAGGCCCTCCCGTATCAAAAGTTAATCAAGAGAATGCCACATAGACACACCCAAAAGCCAATCTGATGGAGTCAGTCAATTCTCTCTTCCCAGGTGACTCTAACATGGGTCAAGTTGACAATAACTAGGCAGCACAGATGTGCCCAGCTGTGCTGCTGAGAGCAGCTTCCTGTGGTTTGTTGTTTTGTTTTTTGTTTTTCGTTTTACAGGAGAAAGGGTCACTGCCATGACTTTAAAATCTTGATGAAGAAAACTGAGGAGCCCGGCAAATACATCGCCTGTGAGTCCCTTGTGGCCCAGGGTCTCCTGCAGAGAATAGTTCCTGGGCATCCAGCTTCCAGGACAGGCCATTCATTCACTTTCCATGTACCAGACAGTAGAGGCCCTGGGTTGGTCCACCCCAGGTACTAACTGGCTCTTGCCCCACAACAGCTCAGCTTGTGACCCACGGGGAACCATGCAAAGGAATGTAAAGTGGGGGGGGGGCAGCCATTGGTGGGGGTGGGGGGTGTTCAGGCTTGGGACCAAGTTCAGCCCTTATGCTCTTTGGACTTCTCAGATGGGCTCAGCAGGTGTCTAAGAAATAGATCCTGACTAGATATGGGGAACCACACGAGGCCAGTGCTGGACTACCTGAGTCTCCAGGGTGCCCCCAAAAGTGTTCCAAAGTATTCTTTCACACAGTCTCCGATAGTTAATCCGGGAGTGAGATGCTAAGAGTTACTTCTCTGTTTACCTGAAGGCAATGGCAGGAAGACTGTGTACATAGAGGAGCTTCCTGTGAAGGACCACTACATCTTCTACTGTGAAGGACGGCACCATGGGAAATATTTCAGCATAGGAAAACTCGTGGGTGAGGAACCACAGAGATCTCATGTCCTGTCTCTGGTCTCTGCTTCCAGCAGCCATGAGAAGGGCAGCAGCCATGCCTGGCACTTGGGACGGGGAAGCATCCGTGCTGGGCCCAGGATGCTGACAAAGCAGTGTATGGAATCCAAAGTGGAAAGTGGGTCAGCTGGGAGGGCACCTGGCTTAAGTGACCGTTGGAGGCTGGCAAATGCCATCTCTAGTGATCTCGGTAGGTGCCGGTCAATCTGAAGGCGATTAACCTGAAAGAGGCCATGATGCGTATATAGTGTCCTCCAAGGTCAGGGGACAGACCCGTGCATCTGAGATCCAGGGCCCTTACAGGTATGGGGAATGACCCTGAAAGCCTCTTGAGGTTCATCGAGGGCCCCCAGAATCACTCAGTGTCTGGGAGTCCCCAACCCAGAGCAACTTGTCCACTGTCCTATTCCCTCTTATCCTGGCTGCTCCAGGCTAACAGCCCAGATGTTGGCCGGTGTCACTGGCTCTCTGCAGAGCTGAGCACCACCCCTCAATCCTGCCTCACCTCCCCACAGGGAGAGACTCTAAGGAAAACCCAGAGGCCATGGAAGAATTTAAGAGATTCACCCAGCGCAAGGGACTGAGAGAGGAAAACATCTTTGTACCAGAGTTGAGCGGTGAGAGCAGGACTGCCCGGCCTCTGCCTGTGTCCCCTGTGTCCCTGTCAGTCCCTAAACATGCATGTCCGTGTGCCTTCTGCGTCCTTCCTGCGCCTGGTCCTATTGTCCTTGGGTGTTGTTTCCTGTCTCTCCGTGTCCCCTGTGTCACAGGGTTGCCCGGGCCCTGCTTCAGGTCTTGGCTGTGGGAGGGCCTGAGCTGCAGGGGTGAGGGGGTCCTCTTCCTGGGCCCTTCTCACTCTGGGATTCTTTCGGTTTCTGCAGATCAGTGTGTGCCTGGAAATGACTAGGGTAAGTCTCCCCCACACAAACACACCCGTAGGACTGTGGAAAAGCCTAGAATGCCAGGTCAGGAACTAGAGGGTCCTCATCCCATCCACACAGACAAGTGTGGTCAGTAGGGAGGTGGCCCTGAGTATAATATCCAGGACATATAGGAAGTCCTTTCTTTTTGTCATGATCTCTCCTAGTCCCTGGTCTCTGCCTGGTCCCATCCTTTCCATTCTCTCCAAGGAGGCTGAGACCTGGCTACTCATGGGAGTGATACAGGGATCACTTTAGAGGGCCCCAGCTCCTAGCAGGGACCCCACAGAAACACAGGGAAAGAAGATCTCTGACTCATATCTGCCCTGGGCTATCCCTGCCCTTGACTGTTGCCTCTGAACAATGGCGGCAGGGGGCGGGGTACTTACCTGTCTTCCTCTCTCTACCACAGCAGCTACCCAGGTCTGCACCTGCTGAGCAAGCCTTGATTCCAGCACCTGGCTGGGACATCCCTGCACCAGACCTCTGCTGGACCAAACCCCCCACTGCCTCCCCACCCCAGGCCTTGGCCTCCCCTCCCCCACTGACTCCAAATAAAGCCCTTCAGCACTACTCTGGCTCGGCCTCTCCGTGAAGCTTGTGTGGGCTCTAAGAGCTCTGCGGGCAGCAGAGACACGGGGAAAGTTGAGCGACACTGGCTGACCAGTGCCCGAGGAGCATGGCAGCTGACTTTCCTGGAGAGCCAGGTGAGGGCCTAGACGTCCTCACCTGGTGGGCCACTGGCTGTGAGGCTGGACCCTGGCTGAGCGTCTGCGAAGGCCCTGGGGACAAGGCTGTGAGGAGCCATCAGGGCTTTGGGCAGTGTGACTGTCACCACAGGGCTCCTGCTCCAGCAGGACATGGTGGACTACTGGGAGGGCCTTCCTTGAGAAGCCGAGCTCAGTGACAGGGTGGAGCAAGGGTGGCCAGCTCCTCCATCCTCCTCCTCAGGGAAGACAGAAGCCGCCACAGCCTCCACCATGCCTGTTCTCCACTCCAGCCCTCCCCCATAGTTTATCCAGGGTGTGGGCTTTCTCTGTCCAATCGGGACATGGCGGCCACAGTGTGGGAGAAGATGTGATCAATGCAGCCTAGTGTAGCTCCCACATGTCACCTTTGCTGAGGGGTTGTTGGTACTCAGGCTAGTGTCCCTCAGCTCTGTGAGCCTCCAGTCTAACTGCCACCTGGTCACGGTTCTCCCTGAATTCCTCTCCTGTCTGGACCTAGTTCTTGCTGGGAGCTATTGGGTGCTCCTGAGGTGGAGCAGCTGTGCTGCTGTGGGTGGGGTCTGAGGCATCCAGACACTTCGGAGGGCAGGGCCAGGCTGGATCCCACATGCATACCAGGCTGTCTTCTTGCTTAAGACAGGGGCTATGCATGGCTTTTAACTGTGGGCCCCAGGACCACCCCAAATTCAAATACTTGATCTTGTTCTCCTTTGCAATCAGTACGTTTTGCCCCCATCGAGAAACCCCCCAGCAAGACACCACAGAGCCAATATGATGCAAAACACACAGGGGTTTATTGATTGGTCTAGGCTTGGTTCATGCCTAACACCCCAATACAGTGGGTGGAGGAGGACCGCCCTGAGCTCTCAGGGTGAGGGGTTTTTAAAGGGAAAACCCACAAACAGGGTGGTACAAGCCTTGGCATCATACCACTGAGTGAGGGTGTGTAACCTTTGGATTTACTGGTTGGGGGTTACACTTACCATTTTGGAGCACGCCTAGACAAGTCCCAGGCTCTGTCCTTGAGCTGCCGTGGAGGCTGGCTGGCCTAGCACATACTGACTGTGGGGGCTGACTCAGTTGCCCAGGCTCTGTCCTTGACTCATGCACGTAGCTCTAAGCTGGTGAGGGGTCCCAGACAGTAAACAACTGGCTGAACCTTGAGTGGTCAGAGTACATGCAGAAAGGGAACTGCTGCAAGGACTATGTCTTTTGTTCATGGCCCTCCCAGAAACCGCTTGCTCAAGTCTCAGGAAACTGAAATTGAGGCCTGATCTCTGAGAGAAGACTGAACAACCTGTTATGGTGTCTTCTTGGTCCTTTCAAGTACATCAGGAGGACTTCTAATTCAAGTCCAAATATGCAAAGATTGCAATCTGACACCACATTACAGTATTCGCCCCCCCCCCCATTCTATTCCCATCAACAATGTATAAGGGTTATTTCCCTGCATCCTTGTTTTCTTGATGGTTGCCATTCTGAATTGAGTGAGATGGAATCTCACTGTTGTTTTTATTTGTATCTTCCTGATGGCAAACAAGGTAAAACACCGTTTCATATATTGTTGATGATTTATTCTATCATGTTGGAAACTCATTGTTTGATTCATCTGCTCACTTATTGGTTGGATGAGTGGCTTGATGTTAAATGTTTTAAGGACTTTATGTTCTCTGTATGTCATTCTCTTGTATGTATTGCTGGCCAAGATTCCCTCCCCTTCAGGGAGCCGACTCTTGACTCTGATGGTTATTCCCCAGGCTGTGCAGAAAGAAGAATTTTAATTTCACACAGTTCCATTTGTCTTTGGATTATTTCCTGTGCAATTTCAGTCTAATTCAGAAAGTCCTTTTCTCTGCCTATATCCTGTATCTTGAAGTATTTTTTCATTTTTTCCCTCTAGCAGTTTCAGCTCATACATAAAGGTCTTTGGCCCATTCAGATTGATACTTGTACAGGTAATAACCAAGGTCTAGTCTCATTCTTCTATGTGTGGATATCAGTTCCCTGGCACAGTTGATGAACAGCCTGTCTGTCTTTTCTTCACTGTGTACTTTGAGAGCTTTTATCAAAAGTGAGGCAGCCGAAGCTGAGTGTTTGAGTCTGTGTCCTGTATTTTATCACACTGATTGGTGTGTCTATTTCTGTGCCAGTACCATGCTGTTTTTGCTACTGCAGCCCTGTAGTATAGTTTAAAACCAAGGGTTACAACACCTCCAGCATTGCTGTTTCTGTTCAGGATGACTTGGCCACTCAGGGTCTTTTGTGCTCCCATATGAATTTTAGGATTGTTTTTCTGTTTCTGTGACCTTAGACTTTTGACAGAAACTTGTACTGAAGCTGAAGTTTGCTTTTGGTAATATGGCTGTAGCAGGAATCTTAAAAGTTCTTATTAATAAAATCAAACCCAAGGCCAGTTATTGGGGTCAATGCTGGTAGATCAGAGAGACAGAACAAGCCACAGCTATCTCACCTCACCAGTTCCTCAGCTGGTCCTGTTTCCTCAGACTGGAAGCCTCTGAGTCCTCATCTAGAATGAATCCCAGCTGAACTGTGCTGCTTCAAAGCCTGAAAGCTTAACCAGCCAAATGCTTAACCAGCCAAATGCTTCTAGTTTCTGGTCCTCACGCTTTATATACCTTTCTGCTTTCTACCATCACTCCCTAGGATTAAAGGCTTGCTTCCTGGGATTAAAGGCGTGAGTCACCCTGCCTGGCTGTTTCCAATGTGTCCTTGAACTCACAGAGATCCAGAGGGATTTCTGCCTCTGGAATGCTAGGATTAAAGGCGTGTGCTATCACTGCCTAACTAGTGGCTTTTCTGTTCTTTGACCCCAGATAAGTTTATTAAGGTACACAATATTTTGGGGAACACAATATCACATATGGCCACTTTCACAATATTGAATCCCCCAATCCATGAACATAGGTGTTCTTTCTGCTACAGTGTTCTTCAATTTCTTCCATGCTTTATAGTTTCCATAGAAATTTAATTTTTACACCTTTTTTGGTAGGTTTATTTATTAGGATATCTCTCCTTCTCCTCCTGCTCCTGCTCCTCCTCCTTCCTCCCCTTCTTCTCCTTCTCCTGCTTCTATTTCTTCTTCTTTTTTTGACTGATATGATTGGGACATTTTCATGGTTTCACTGCATGTTTGTTATTGCTATTCAATTTAGAAAAGCTAATAATTTTTCATGTTGATTTTATATTCTATTACTTTGCTGAAAGTTTTTTTTTAATCAGATCTGAGTGTTCTGGTGAATTTAATACAAAATAATGTAATGTGCATATAAGGATTGCTGAACTTCCTATTTTCTTGTTTATATACATTTTATTTCTTTTCCTGCCTTATTGCTATGGCTTCAAGTCCTATATTGAATAAGAGTACTTCAGTTCTTCCTTGATTAGTACAATATTGGCTACAGGTGTTTCACATGTGGTCTTTATTATGGTGAGGTATGTTCCTTCTGTTCCTAGTTTCTTCAAGGCTTTTATCGTGAAAGGATGTTAAACATCTTCTCAGCATCTATTGAAATGATCATATGATATCTGTCCTAAAGCTTGGTGTTGGATTGCAATTACTAATTTCTGTGTATGCTTGCATTCCTAGAATAAAATCAGCTTGGTCATGTTGCCTGACCATCCCAATGTTGTTGAGTTCAGTTTGCAAGTATGTTATTGAGAATTTTCACATCTATGGTCAACAGAGAAATTTATCTACAGTTTTCTTTTTATATTCTTTTAATATCAAAATGATATTGGCTTTGTAGAATGAAGTCGGGAGCATTCCTTCTCATTTACGGTCTAGTTTGAGGAGCACTGATGTCAACTCTTTTTAACTATTTGGTAGAATTTTTAGCAGTGAATCCATCCTGTCCTAGGCTCTTCTTTGTTAGGAGACTACTACTACCTCAATGTTGTTGCCCATTATAGATTTAGTATGTTTCCTCTTAATTTAGTTTTGTAGGTCCTGTGGGTCTGTCTTGTTGCAATATATTTCAAAATCATCCCATTCACAATTTCCTCAAATATTACCATGTGGGATGCTGAATAGATGACTTGGCAGTTAAAAGCACTCGTTGCTCTTGCAGAGGACCTGGGTTCAGTTCCCAACACCCATATACTGGCTTACAACCATCTATAGCTCCAGTTCCAGGGGATCTGATGCCTTTTTCTGACCTCAGGGGAACCAGACAGACAGATGGTGCATATACATACATGCAAATAAGACACTCATCAACATAAAATTTTAAATCTAAAAAAAAAAATAGCTTGGAATAAACCTAAGCAAGAAAGTGAAAGACCTGAAATTTAAAAATTTTAAACATTAAAGAAGAATTTAAACATATTAAAGGTGGGTATGGTGTTCCATGCCTTTAGTCCCAGCACTCAGAATGTAGAAGCTGATAGATTTCTAATGAGTCTGAGGCCAGCCTAATTTGCATAGAGGAACCTTGACTCAAACAAATACTAAAAGCACCGCTCTATGATGACTGAAAAATTAATATTGTAAAAATGACTATACCACCAAAAGCAATGTACAAATTCAATCCAATCCTCATAAAGTTCCAATTACATTCTTTGTAGGAATAGAAAAAAAATAGAATTGATATGGAACCCCAAAAGACCCTAGATAGCCAAAATAATTTTGGGAAAAAACAATGCTTGCAGTATCATCATATCTGATTTCAGGTTTATTGTCATAGCAGTAAAAACAGAATGGTTTTTATATCTATGTATTAATACATAAATTAATTAAACAGAAGCAAATAACCAGATATAAATCTATGCAGTTACAGCCACCTGAGTTTTGACAAAGCTTAAAAATATATGCATTGGAGAAGA